CAAGCTGTTATAGTATCCATTGCATCTCAGTCACTTACTTTACATTTAGTTAATGCTGCACAAAGCTACGGAGTTATATAACTACTTCTTCTTAATTTTTTATATATTGATGGACCTACAATTTTTTCTGACTTGTTATATAAATAAGTAAACTTAGTGTTGGTCAATCAGTTTGTTTAATTTGATCACTTTTTTCAGAACTTGTCGATGAAAACGGATATTAAAGTACTCATTAAAAAGGAATATATATATATTAACTCTTAAGAATTATATAGTACCTACCTGAGTCAAAAGCTACCATTTGTTCGTTATTTTTTCTAATCGAGGTAATTGTTTTTTTTAGCTATATGTATTTTTAAGTCAACACCCATCATTCTTCCAGGTCACCCTTTTTATCGTTGTAACTCTAAAATGGCTAGGTCTACTTTAATTTTTTATCAGTTTTGCTATATTTTCAAGAGTTATATCAAACAAATTTTCTTTAAATTGATCTTTCCTTTGTTAGTTTATAATACTTGATCTATTATTATTATTTTCTAAACATCTCCAAGACTCAAAAATCATTTAAAATTTTATTATACAAGAATTTGATTTATGTTGGGATCCTCACTTTTTTCAAAAAATTACACATTCTTCTAATTTCACAGATCTACCACTTTCGTGTAAACTAAGTTTTACTAATCATTTATTGTAAAATAATACACTTAAGCAGTCTTTAACTATCAGTAATTTTTTACCAGTTGTTTGTTTATTAATAGAATCAATGAAATAAATGTTTCTTTGCGGTATTTTGAAACAAAGATAAAAAAAAAAATTATATAAATATATACGAGTAATAAGCATTCCGTTTAATGTCAAAAATATAACCTGATAACCAGTGGCGGCTCGTGGCTTGAACGAAGGGACGATCGCACCCCCTACTAAAATTAATTAAAAGAAGAAAATTAAATGTATATTCTTAATTCTATATTTTTATTAAAAATGCAAATTTTTAAATAGTACAATTGTTATAATACATTTGTTGTGTGCGAACATTAAAGTGTTTACCCCAGTATATGCGGGTACGCATGGACACACAGCAGTGTTTGGGCGACCGGCAGCGTCGTCCATACGGTAAAATATTAGTATGTACGCTCGTATCGGTTGTTGTAATAGTATAATGATTATGCTACAATCGCTATTATTATTATTTTCATTTCTATTTTCTACTGCGACCTTTAAAATAATAATATGTGTATTATGTTTTATTTTATTACATTTAATTTGGCAATTTTAGCTTCGATGCATAACTAAGAAGGTATTGGTTTTACTATGATGTGTTTTTTTTATTTTTATTTTTTTTGATTCTGTTACCACTTTTTCTCAACTCTCGCCGAACCNATTTTTATTTATTTATTTTTTTTGATTCTGTTACCACTTTTTCTCAACTCTCGCCGAACCGATTTCTTTCAACGATACGTCAAAAGATCACAAATCGTATCTAGTACAATACATTACCCTCAAAAATTGAAAAAATGTCCCTCGTTCCTCGTAAATGGGGATTTAATTCTTTATTTTTTTTTTATCTATCGTGTACAATAATTTTTAATTATTGTTAAAGTTATTGTAAATAGAACGTTTAAAATTTACAAAATTACATTAAGTAAAAACATATTTTTTAATTATCACAGTAATGATGGACTTGAAAAAAATTTATTGAAACGTTTTAATATGAAATTTAATAATAAATCCTTTTTGTTTCATATATATTTCCTCTAACTTTAATATTCATTGAAATAAATGTAAAAAACCAAAATATAACATTATTTGGTCAAACTTCAACTCTAATATGACACGGGAAGGGATTGTTTGATCGAATCCAATTTTTCTCAGTATAAGTTTTTTATATCAAGTGAAATAATGCATGAGGGTGGCTTGATCAAGTATTTGAAACCCAACCAAACCACTTAAATTTAAAAAGTGGTCCATTATTTCATGATAATTTTAATAATTTTTGAAAAAAGTTGAGTAATTCAATGTATAATGGTTACATACATGTATTATAATTGTATGGAACACAACGCCATTTCTGGTTCCTTGTATGCGTATCATTTTTACTTATACGCCCCCTTAAGTGCGTATTTTATCAACTACGTATATTACGAAGCAAAAAAAAACGCGTATTGATGATTAAGATCCAATATACATATAAATCTAATTAATAGAAATAAGCCCAAGATCCTGCAAACGATTGTTAACATTAAACTGAGTAGTTAACTATAAGAATTATTCAATCAACTACGAAAAAAATAAAGTTAAGAGCGAATTTTTATTTGCATTTGACTCCATTAATATTCACATATTATACAAAAAGAAAATGAGGTGAATTAGGGATATTTTGTTATTCCATAACTCAATATAGTTCAACTACCAGATAAACCTAAATACATATCCCTCTCCTCCGCCATAATTTATCTTTTTTTTTTATGTGTTTATTGACTCTGTGTTAGTTACAAAACACAGAGACTACACAAATCATGGAAAAATAGAAGTAAAAATTATAAATTATGCATTAATTATTATAAAAATAAGCGTTGGAGTTTAATAAACAAATAAATCTTTATTTTACTAAAAAAATTTTCATTTATAACAAAAATAATTGTTACTACAAATATTATTTATTTAAAAATTGTCTAAACGGAAATATTTAGGATAATTTATCATAGTATAAAATATTATTAAAAACCAAACATTTATTTATTAAAGTTCTAATATAATTATAATTTTGTAATCTCACAACTAATTCTTATTAATTATGTTATCAATATTTATTAAAAATGTATGTTTTCATAATTTCAATTATACTTTGTTGTGTATTGAGTGGTAGTAACCTTTGCGATTATAATGTAGAGTTAGTATCGGTTTACACTCGGCCCAGAGAATATGTAACGTACGCGCAAGCGCCCAGCTGTAATGTAAGTTTCATCAATAAAGTTGTAATAAAAGTAATTGCGATGATCATTATTTCATTAAGTAAACCCGCAAAACATACTTAGTAAAATTATCATTGATTTATAATAAATCAATACCAAAGAGATCTTATTATGTTGGTAGTATTGCTATTCGAATTATTAATACGCTTATTCAGCATAAATAATTTTTATGGAATAAATTACATACCTATAACCAATTTTTAGTTTAAAGAGTTTTTGTTTTCTTCTGTAATAAATACATTCTCAATACATATTCCAATGATTGATATCGTAAAAAAATAATTTTAAACAATTTGTACATAGAATCTACTCTATATAATGGCTTGATTTTAGTTTCGATGCGAAGCTATGGATGATATTTTTTTTGTGTCTGTTACCACTTTTTTTCAGCTCTCACCGAACCGATTTCTTTCAACGACACGTCAAAAGATCACAAATCGTATCTAGTCAAAGACATTACCCTTAAAAATTGAAATAAATTTTCTTGTTTCCCGTAAATATGGAAAATTTTCAAAATCGATAAATTTCGTCAATTTTTTCTTAAAACTATATTAACTTTTTTAAAAATTAACAAAACAACTTAATTTTTTTTTTTTTTTTTGAAACCTTAGATATTTTCCTTTTATTCGATATAATTTTTTTTTAGAAAATCGAACACTTAACCTGCTCATAAGGGGGGGATTTAAAATTTTTTTGCAAAATATAGCTTTTTCAATTTAACTTTTGAAAAATTGTGCTTGAAAAAGTTGAGGTAAAAGTTTGACACGGCACCGCCTTTTGCTCTAGGCTGGCGCTCACCCGTGTCTCTCTCGATATCAGCCGTCCAGCTATTAATATGACAATCGGTTGTCATCGGTCGTCACCCCGCCCTTGACACTGAGATAAGGCCGCCGCCGAATATGGATTACCGATATTGCGTCCTGTTTTCGTTTCGACATTCACCTGAACTGGTGTATTTTACTTTTGGCTGTTCGGTTTTTTTGACGTTAACCTGGACTCGTTGTTGCGTTTCATTTTTCATGTTCATTGTTTTTCGTTGTCGTTGGTGATTATATTTATAATTACTATTCTTATTAACTGGTTTACTTATTGCGCAAAGGTGTGGTTTGAATAATTAAATCTATATATATATATATATATATATATATAGAGTCATAGACTATATTTGATATTTTCCTATATCACCGCTGTAATTATTGTGCTGTTAACCTTGCTATACAAATCTATATAAATAAATATATATATTTTGTGTGTGGTGTTCACCGTATATATTGGATACGCGTCAAGTTATGATGATAAATTCATTTTTTATTTATAATAAACTTTCACTTTAAAGGACGAAAAAAAGTAGGTTAGAAATTATTACTTTTAACATATTAAAAATAAAAATCAATAATAATTTGAAAACAATTCAATATAACAATTATATAATATATAATTTCATATTATATTTTTGAATCTAAGAATTACTAATCGGGATATAACTAAGGAAATAGTTGATGTTGCTTTTGAAATTATCCACCAATTTCTTACAATGAAACATTACCTACAGATTTGCATCGAATTGTTTCGTATGATAGTGATTTAATCACTGTCAGATTAAATCTATACTGGACCCAACTATACCACGTCCCCACTGTGCCGTGACCTCACTGTGCTGGGTTTTTATGTTACATTTTTCGTAAATTCAATTTAATTAATTTTTTTCAATAAGTAAAAATACTATTTTCATTACAAATTGATTTTTATAACCCCAATGTATAACAATTATTAAAATAAAATAATACAAAATATTAGAAATATAATAGAACATGGCAGACCATTTGTGAATAATTAAATTTACAGCAGTTTTAAGAAAAGATAGTTTAAAAAATTGTTGTAAATTAAAAATCGTAAATTTTTTGTTGATTTCCACCATTTACAGGGAATGTAAATATTTTTTCAAATACAAAAAATTATGTGTTAAAGCAAATAAATTTGTGACTTTATGATGTATTTTAAGCATAAATAATATAATATATAATTTACCTTCGTTAAATATCAAACAGCATATTATTAACAAAAAGTATATTAAATGCCAATTCTAGAATAAAATAAAATATTCTTTTAGATTATAATCGAACGCTTCGTGTTATGTGTGTTACTCACCTCCATATTTATTCAAATATTAAATAACTAATGACTATTTTTTGGTTACATTAGTGTATATATAAAAAACTACTGACAAAATTAATTTCAATTTTTAAATTTTTAAACTGAAAAACACTATTTTAAGTAAATATTGAATCATACCTTAAAAAATAATTATTATTTATAGTTATTTTATTCATATACAAGTAATAGTCTTTAACCAAATTGGTATTGATGTCAATATACTGTACTTAAGAGGTGTATTAATAATACATAAATATTAAAATTACTCATTTTTAATACGAGAGCATAGTTTTTTGAGACAATAGAGATTATATCATGACCATCTATGTCTATTGTCTCTCATCTTATCCACGATTGACGCTACCCAATATTCCCTCTTATATGTCCGTTCTTTATCCTATCTCTGTAGTCACTTTACTTATTCATCTAAGCATTCTCATCTTTGCTACATTCATTCTCTGCTCTATTCTCTTTTCAATCACCCAATATTCTGATCCAAACATCATAGCTGCTCTCACTACAGTCTTATAGAATTTACCTTTCAGCCTCATTGGAATTCTTTTATGACATAACACACCAGACGCTTCTCTCCACTTTACCTGTATTCTTACTTGATTATATTATTTTATAACCCTCACCTATTTCCCTTGCTTTCTCTCCCTTCCACTTAATATCTTGCACACAGCTAGTATTAACTTTTCTTCTCTTCAACACTTCTACTAATTATCTACTTCTAACAGTTAATATTCCGAATTCCACATGCCTCTTCTTACGTTGTATCTATCTTACTCCCATATAATCCAGTCCAGTCTGGAGTTGAGTGATGATTTCCCTACACCGTTGACACTACAAGCGTTTGAATTGTTTGTACACATGACTGCTAATACAGCTACCGTACAATCTATGTATGCAATCAAACACTTTATTTTTTAGGCCTTCTCCGTCTCTAACTACTTTATTTCCTTTTTTTTGTTGTACCCACGTATATTTTATGGGACAATCCGCCTAAGTTTTAGTTCCAACCTGAAGCAAATACATTAGTCGCCTCTTACAACTGGCAGAAAGGCCGTGGAAGTATTCTTAACCCCTCAAAACAGAGAAATAGTCAGCAATACTTCAATATCATTTAAAAATAATCATGCTACACAAAACTTATTTACACCATTGTCTTTAGCATCATAATGTGTGTATGAATGTATAATTAATATTTTTATCTTTATTATTACCATGCTAAAAATATTTTATAAAAAAAATGATTTTCCGAAATGTTGAAATTTTTAGATATATTTTACTATTATAGAATTAATGACTATGTTTAATTATTTAACTATTGTAAAAACTAAATTTTTAAAATTTCGATAACATTTTTATTTATAGGTTAAAGAACTATATATGCTGAGTATCAAAAATTGTTGGAGAAAAGATAAGATTTTTTTATGAAAAATAGCTATTTTACTCATTTTCACAGTTTGTCTTAATTTTGACATTACAGTATCAAAATTTGCAAATGAGGCGTATAGTTTCAAAACTAGCCAAAACCATTTTTTAAAATTTTTCATGAATAACAAAATAAAATAATGAGGTTAAGATTTAACTTAAACGATTTTATAATATGTATGATATTAAAGCTTGGGAGTATAAACACATTGTGTGAATATTTACTTTAACAAAATATTTTTACAAGAGTTATTTAGTTTTATAATTTTTATATAGCTGGTTTTGTTGCCAATTTCATCAGATGGCTGGTTTTGAAGTCAAAATTTTTTTTTCTGTATACATGGCTAGTTTGAAATTGACATTGTTAGATGGGTGATTTTGAAACCAACCATATTTTTCCATGATTAATTTAAACCAGTTATAGCCTGTTTTTAAGTACAATATTTTTACAGGACATTAAGTACAGTGTGACCATTTAGAAAATACAAAATAAAAATTGTTTTAAAAAAATTCACTTATAGCTGATTTTGAAACTATACGTCTCAAATATTACTTTTATAACTATTCTAAAAAAATTTGGGTTACCTGAAGTAAAATTTTACAAAATGATTATAATTAACACCTTATACCTTATATTGTGGTGAATACCTATTTTTTGGTTCTTTTAAGTCGAATTTATGAAAGATTATAATACAAAAATGACTGAACTATTTATCATAACTTTTTTTTAACTCAACTTGCAAGTTTGGAATTGACATCATTAAATAGAAAATTTAAGCCTCTCCCTCGATGTAGTGTAAAGGCACCGGTGATTTCATCATTTAAGATACAAATTAGACATTGCGTATAGTTTACAAAACAGCATGTTATATTTGCATAGGATAATATGTAGGGATACTTGTACATTTAAGTAAATTTTACGATAAAAGATCTTTAGTAAACTATAGATAAAATAAGTTTTAATTGTCAACAATCATGAAAAATTTATAAATATATTTGTGCGACAAATATTAGTTGCATTACCTAAAGTAATACAATATATTAATATTATTCATAAATCGTATTAAATTTTGATATTAAATATAAATTTTACAAAAAAATGTTATTTGCATTCGTATTTTTACCATGCATTATGTTTTCATCATATATGCACAAATATTGCTCATAATTATTTCAAAAATAAATACAAATGTTTTATTCAAAAAATTAATCGTATTATTTATTTTAGAATAATTACATATGAAACAAAGTCAAAGTTCAATAATTTGTACTTTTTAAATAACAATTAAAGTAAATAGCAATGTGTTTAAGTTATTAATTTAGTATTAATAAAAAAAAATTCTAATCTAGGTAAACTTAAAATCTTATTGCGTTTGACGATAATTTAAAAAAAACAGGTTATTATAAAACAGGTGAGGTGGCGGCACAGTGGGGCCGTAGCATAGATGATATCTGACAGTGATTAAAATAGGATTTCCTTATTTATATTCTGATTATAAGTTAGAAGTGTAATATTTGAATAAATAAATATATATATATATTAATAATATACAAATATAAATAGTACTTATCTCAAAAAAAAGTATAATGATCCATACATTTTTCAAAAAGTTATAGCATTATAAAATTAAAAATATAAAAAGAAATTTTTTTACAAAAATCGTATTTTTTTTTAAAAACTTTGATGATTGTTTTTACCATGAAAACAAAATGAAGTCCGTATTTTTTTTTTTCCATAATAAAGTATAGTACATCAACTTTAATTTAAGTGATATATAAAAGTGTCAGTATTTCCGGAACACTTTCAAAATTTTATGTGTAAAAGTAAATTTTTTGTGAAAAAGTTATCATTTAAAATCCCCCCCTATGGGCAGATAAGGGATCAGATTTATATAAAAAATATATCAAATGATAAGTAATGACATCAAGCATCTATAAAAAAAAAATTATATTGATATAATCATATCAAAATTATATAATCTAATATAATCATATCATATAAAAAATTAGCTATTTTTAAATTTGGAATTTTTTTAGAGACTTCTCCCATTTACGGAGAATGAGTGAAATTTTATCAATTTTTGAGGGTAATGTCTTCGACTAGATATGATTTGTGATCTTTTGACGTATCGTTGAAAGAAATCGGTTCGGTGAAAGCTGAGAAAAAGTGGTACTAGACACAAAAAAAAAACACATCATAGTAAAACGAATATCTTTTCAACTTTGCTTCGAAGCTAAAATAAAACCGAAACCCCTTTAAATTATAAGGGATGACACTAAAAAGTAATTAATAGCTAATAAATCAAGAAATTTATGTAGATAAAAGAAATAAAATTTTTTTGTTTTTTGATATATTATATAATATATATATTTGTTTTCCGCTTCTCTTATAATATTCTGAACATACTGATTCTTTTTACACCTTATAAAATTATGAGCTTTTTTTCCTCTGAAGATACTTTCTTTTTCACAATTGTCAACACCATTTAGCCATATTTGCCTTGCTTTTTTTTTCTATTCAAAGCTACTTAGCATACTATGTTATGCCGTGATTTATTCATTCTATCAACTTTTCCTAACACTTTCTCTGACACTTTTTCGAGGGTAACAGACACAAAAAAAAATAAAAATAAAGAAATAATAAAAAACACATCATACTAAAATTAATACCTTTTCAGCTTCACATCGAAGCTAAAAAATCTATGGACTACTTGGTGCCTCAGATATAAAAACTGCACTAAACGTAACTATATGATGTATTACCTAAGTTACATCGATCAGCTGGTTTAACCAAAACTACCTCTCTGAAGTCTTTAGTTATATTATATTTGTACTTAAATACATAAAATAAAAAAAAAACCAGCACAGTGGGGTGGCGGCACAGTGAGGTCGTGGCATAGTTGGGTCCAGTATAGATGATATCTGATAGTATTAAAATCACTATCATAAAAAACGCTTCAATGCAAATCTGTAGATAGTGTTTAATTAAAAAAAAAAAATTTGTTAAAAAAGCATATTTTTGAATATGGTAGCCATTTGCGCATAGATGATAGGTCGCCGGGACAAATTTTTTTTTTCATTTTATAGTACATAAAATAAGCTTTAATTTGATATATGTTTAAAGGACGCAGTATTTCCGGAACATTTTCAAAAATTAAGTTGAGAAAGTTAGTTTTTGTAAAAAAGTTACTATTTTAAATCCCCTCAGTAAGCAAAATATATGTTAGATTTTCAAAAAAAATTATATCAAATGAAAGGGAAATATCTAAGGTTTCAATACAAAAAAATATTATTTTTATTTGTTCATTTTTGAAAAAGTTATGGCAGTTTTAAGTACAAAAAACATCCCGATAAAATGTAATTTTTATCGCAAACATTACATTTTTTTTTAAATTTTCGACAGCCATTTGCACATAGAAGATAAGATGTCGGGACAAATTTTTTTTTTTCATTTGATAGTATATAACATAACCTTTGATTTGATATATGTTTAAAGGACGCAGTATTTCCGGAACATTTTCAAAAGTTCAGTTGAAAAAGATCTATGTTTTTTACAATATTTTAAGTTTTGAACGCCCCCTATATAAGGGGAAATTGTCCAATTTTAATAAAAAGTATGTCAAATGAAAGATGTACTTATAATGTATTTAGAAAAAAAAAATTTGTGCTGATATATACATTTTTCAAAAAGTTATAGCATTTTTAAGTTGAAAATTTAAAATCGAAAATCGAAAATTTTAACACAAAAATAGTGTTTTTTTAACTACGGCAGCCGTTTAAATGTAGAAAAAAAAGTGTCGGGACAAATTTTTTTTTTTCATTTTGTAGTACATAAAATAAGCTTTAATTTGATATATGTTTAAAGGACGCAGTCTTTCCGGAACATTTTCAAAAATTAAGTTGAAAAAATTAATTTTTGTAAAAAAGTTGCCATTTTAAATCCCCCCCAATGAGCAGGTTAAGTGATAGATTTTCAAAAAAATGATATCAAATGAAAGGTAAATATCTAAGGTTTTAGTATAAAAAAAAATTATGTTTATTTGTTGATTTTTTAAATATTCATGAAAGTTTTAAGAAAAAAAAGTAAAAAAATTTCGAAAATTAGCGATTTTTAAATTTGTAATTTTTTTGGATATTTCCCCCATTTGCGGGGAACGAGGGAATTTTTTTCAATTTTTAAGGGTAATGTCTTCAACTAGATACGATTTGTGATCTTTTGACGTATTTTTGAAAGAAATCGGTCCAGTGAGAGCTGAGAAAAAGTGGCAACAGACATAAAAAAAAAAAAAAACACATCATAGTAAAATTAATACCTTCTCAGCTTCCCATCGAAACTAATAGCTGTTATACATTAAAATTAATTTTTTGTTACCATTCCTTATACCATAGATTATGCCTTAGATTATAATTTAATAAATGTTAACATTAATAATAAATTTTTTAGCTTCGATGCGAAGCTGAATCTTCTCAGCTTATTGGTTTTACTATGATGTGTTTTTTTGTGTCTGTTGCCACTTTTTCTCAGCTCTCACTGGACCGATTTCTTTCAAAAATACGTCAAAAGATCACAAATCGTATCTAGTTGAAGACATTACCCTTAAAAATTGAAAAAAATTCCCTCGTTCCCCGCAAATGGGGGAAATATCCAAAAAAATTACAAATTTAAAAATCGCTAATTTTCGAAATTTTTTCACTTTTTTTTCTTAAAACTTCCATAACTTTTTGAANCGGTAAATTTTGTCATTTTTTTCATTTTTTTTTCTTAAAACTTCCATAACTTTTTGAAAAATGAACAAATCAATATAACTTTTTTTTATACTAAAACCTTAGATTTACCTTTCATTTAATATCATTTAAATCTAACATATATTTTGCTTACTGAGGGGATTTAAAATAGTAACTTTTTTACAAAAACTAAATTTTTCAACTTAATTTTTGAAAATGTTCCGGAAATACTGCGTCCTTTAAACATATATCAAATTAAAGCTTATTTTATGTACTATAAAATGAAAAAAAAAATTTTTCCCGACATTTCTTTTTCTACATTTAAACAGCTGCCGTAGTTAAAAAAACACTATTTTTGTGTTAAAATTTTCGATTTTCGATTTTTAATTTTCAACTTAAAAATGCTATAACTTTTTGAAAAATGTATATATCAGCACAAATTTTTTTTTCTAAATACATTATAAGTACATCTTTCATTTGACATACTTTTTATTAAAATTTCCCCTTATATAGGGGGCGTTCAAAACTTAAAATATTGTAAAAAAACATAGACCTTTTTCAACTGAACTTTTGAAAATGTTCCGGAAATACTGCGTCCTTTAAACATATATCAAATCAAGTTATGTTATATACTATCAAATGAAAAAAAAAATTTGTCCCGACATCTTATCTTCTATATGCAAATGGCTGTCGAAAATTAAAAAAAAATGTAATGTTTGCGATAAAAATAACATTTATCGGGATGTTTTTTGTACTTAAAACTGCCATAACTTCAAAAATATGCTATTTTAACAATTTTTTGTTTTTTAATTAAACACTATCTACAGATTTGCATCGAAGCGTTTTTTATGATAGTGATTTTAATCACTGTCAGATATCATCTATACTGGACCCAACTATGCCACGACCCCACTGTGCCGCCACTCCACTGTGCTGGGTTGGGTTTTTTTATTTGTAGTTTACTGAAAGCACTTAACATTAACATATAGTATTAATATAAATTATATTAAAAATCTACTAGGTATTCTGTTAGTATAAAATTTTTATTAACATACTCTGTTATTATTTGAATGTGGTATATTTTATTCATTGCACACTGGAAAAAAATTTATTGATGTACAATTTTAATATTTAATTTTTAGAAATTTAATATAATTTCCTAGAAAATATTTTTATTAAAAAATATTAATTTTATAAACAATAATTCAAAAAATCATAAAACATATCTAGTACCAAACTCTATCCTTCATAGTTGGTATTTCACAGAGCTTGAAAATACATGAACATCAGAAAAACCAGATTATATTATTTACCAGATTATTATGTTTATGTATACAATTTTCGTAAATCAGAGTAACTTCTACATTACGATAAACATATCATTAAGTATACATTAGTCTTGAAATTTACTTTAATATATATATTTTAATTGCAAATGCAAGATCTCCATTTCCTCTTAAAACTAATCATCTATGCTCTCGTTATAAACATGGGTAATTTTAATACTTTTTTATTATTAATACACCTCTTAAGTACAGTATGTTCACATCAATACCAATTTGATTAATGACTTTTACTGGTATATCAATAAATTAACTATAAATAATAATTATTTTTTAAGGTATAATTTAATATTTACTTAGAATGCTGCTTTTCAGTTTACAAATATAAAAGTAGAAATATAACTAAACAATTGTCATTAGTTATTTTGAATTAAACACTTGAATAAAAATGGAGGTAAGTAATATACATAACGTGAATTGTTCAATTGAAATCTAAAAGAATATTAATTTTATTCTAGAATGGGCAATTAGTATCTCTTTTGTCGATTATATTCTGTTTGAAATTTAACGAAGGTAAATTGTATTATACATTATTTATGCCTATTAATAAAATTAATTATACGTATTAGTTAGTTCATTTATTTTTTTCGATTACATTTGGATATAATAAAATATACATCCCATATTTGTCTAGGATTAAATTGTTCTATTCAAAAAACTCTATAATAATATGTAGTAATTAACTTTTTTTAATACCTTCTGGGTTGCAAAAATAAAACATTAATTTACTTCAATTGAAAACCATACTTTTAGTTAAAAATATGATGAAAAAAAAAATTTCAACTTTTTTTTTTGTTATGACTTATTAAAATTTAGCGATTTTTAATCAATTTTTTTATCGATAATATACTGATTAGCATAAAATAATCATCATATTTTCATGCTGTAGCATAATCAATTATTAGTTAAAGAAAAGTTTTAAAAATGTTATTTTTAGTTTTATATATTTCTTGATTTATTAATTATAATATTTTAGCTTCGATGCGAAGCTGAGAAGGTATTGGTTTTACTATGATGTGTTTTTTTTTGTGTCTGGTACCACTTTTTCTCAGCTTTCACCGAACCGATTTCTTTCAATGATACGTCAAAAGATCACAAATCGTATCTAGTCGAAGACATTACCCTCAAAAATTGAAAAAATTTCCCTAGTCCCTCGTAAATGAGGGAATCCTTCAAAAAAATTACAAATTTAAAAATCGCTAATTTTCGAAATTTCTTCAATTTTTTTTACATCAAACTGCCATAACTTTTTCAAAAATGAACAAATAAATATAATTTTAGCTTCGATGCGAAGCGGAGAAGGTATTAATTTTACTATGATGTGTTTTTTTTTTTATGTCTGTTGCCACTTTTTCTCAGCTCTCACTGGACCGATTTCTTTCAAAAATACGTCAAAAGATCACAAATCGTATCTAGTTGAAGACATTACCCTTAAAAATTGAAAAAAATTCCCTCGTTCCCCGCAAATGGGGGAAATATCCAAAAAAATTACAAATTTAAAAATCGCTAATTTTCGAAATTTTTTCACTTTTTTTTCTTAAAACTTCCATAACTTTTTGAAAAATCAACAAATCAACATAATTTTTTTTTATACTAAAACCTTAGATATTTACCTTTCATTTGATATCATTTTTTTGAAAATCTATCACTTAACCTGCTCATTGGGGGGGATTTAAAATGGCAACTTTTTTACAAAAATTAATTTTTTCAACTTAATTTTTGAAAATGTTCCGGAAAGACTGCGTCCTTTAAACATATATCAAATTAAAGCTTATTTTATGTACTACAAAATGAAAAAAAAAAATTTGTCCCGACACTTTTTTTTCTACATTTAAACGGCTGCCGTAGTTAAAAAAACACTATTTTTGTGTTAAAATTTTCGATTTTCGATTTTAAATTTTCAACTTAAAAATGCTATAACTTTTTGAAAAATGTATATATCAGCACAAATTTTTTTTTTCTAAATACATTATAAGTACATCTTTCATTTGACATACTTTTTATTAAAATTGGACAATTTCCCCTTATATAGGGGGCGTTCAAAACTTAAAATATTGTAAAAAACATAGATCTTTTTCAACTGAACTTTTGAAAATGTTCCGGAAATACTGCGTCCTTTAAACATATATCAAATCAAAGGTTATGTTATATACTATCAAATGAAAAAAAAAAATTTGTCCCGACATCTTATCTTCTATGTGCAAATGGCTGTCGAAAATTTAAAAAAAAATGTAATGTTTGCGATAAAAATTACATTTTATCGGGATGTTTTTTGTACTTAAAACTGCCATAACTTTTTCAAAAATGAACAAATAAAAATAATATTTTTTTGTATTGAAACCTTAGATATTTCCCTTTCATTTGATATAATTTTTTTTGAAAATCTAACACTTATTCTGCTCACTGGGAGGATTTAAAATAGTAACTTTTTTACAAAAAATAACTTTTTCAACTTAATTTTTGAAAATGTTCCGGAAATACTGCGTCCTTTAAACATATATAAAATTAAAGCTTATTTTATGTACTACAAAATGAAAAAAAAAAATTTGTCCCGACGATCTATCTTCTATACGCAAATGGCTACCATATTGAAAAATATACTATTTTTGTATGATAATTATGGGTTTTGTATTTTATTTTAATAGAAGTTGATGTTGCTTTTGCAATTATCCATCAATTTTTTAAAATTAAACACTCTACAGATTTGCATCGAAGCGTTTCTTATGATAGTGATTTTAATCACTGTCAGATTAAATCTATACTGGACCCTACTATGCAATGTCGTAGTAATGCTATATACTATGCCGCGACCCCACTGTGCTACCGTTTTTTTTTTTATACATGCATAATATCATTACCTATCTTTTGGTATATTTTTGTAAATTTGACACTTAACCTGTCCACAGGGGGGGATTTAAATTGACAACTTTTTCACAAAAAATTAACGTTTTTAACTTAATTTTTGAAGGTGTTCCGGAAAGTCTAACACTTTTATATATATCATAAATTAAAGCTAATGTAATATACTTTAACATGGAAAATTTGCGGACTTTATTTTATCTTCACGGTGAAAATGGCTAACGAATGCTATTTTTGTGTGAAAATTCTCGATTTTATTTTTTACATTTTTAACTTTATAATGCTATAACTTATTGAAAAGTGTATGGTTCAACACAATTATTTTATGAGAAATAATATTTTTTATATTTCCTTTTTCATTCAGGATATTAATAAGAAAATGACAGATCATGTAGCTTTAAGAATAATCCATCAATTTTTTAAAATTAAACACTATCTAAAGATTTGTATCGAAGCGTTTTTTTTTATAGTGATTTTAATCACTGTCAGATATCANTGGAATAATCCATCAATTTTTTAAAATTAAACACTATCTAAAGATTTGTATCGAAGCGTTTTGTTTTATAGTGATTTTAATCACTGTCAGATATCATTATACTTGATCCAACTATGCCACGTCACCACTGTGCCGCAACCCCCGTGTGCTGGGTTTTTTCTATTCAAAGCTACTTAGCATACTATGTTATGCCGTGATTTATTCATTCTATCAACTTTTCCTAACACTTTCTCTGACACTTTTTCGAGGATACTTTTAATTAATTTCAATTGATCATCTACTTATTCTTGAGTTTCTCATATCTGATATTTCCGATCTTATTATATTTTAGTAAAACTCTAAGGTTTGCTTACTACTAAAAAATGATTTGAATCGTAGAAGGCTCCCGTGTGTGTTCTTTTATTCGTTTTCTTGATGGTAAATCTCTCTTTTACCAATATACAGTCTATTTGATTTGAGTATTTACCATTAGGTCATATCCACGTCTTTTTATGTATTTTCTTATCATTGTACTCATGACCTTAACTATTTAAGGTCAGGGTACTGTTACAGCTGTGCACTTATTACAGTACATGGGACAATGAAAGTGATATTTTCCCTACACCTCAGATCGGGCTTCCGGATTCGCCAAATCTGTAACACTAAGTGTTTTTCTGAAGGAAATTACATGTAATTACTTTAATATACTACTAAATAGTCATAGATAAATAAATAGTAGTAAGTATTAGTATCATTCTTATTTATATGGCAATATTTATGTTTCATATAAATTTTAATTGTAGAAGATGTTTAGAATTCACATAATCAATTTTTTACTTCAACGCGTATTTTAGTTCTTATAAAAATATTTCAAAATTATTAGAATACATTTTTATTCCAACTATTTAAAATAAGATTATTCAATTAAAATTTTATTTCAATAAATCAACTCTTTTGTCCTTTATAAGTATAAATTTAAAATAGTTACAATCAGCAAATTTCAATGCAATAACTTTTTTGTAAATATATATTAAAATAAGGAGAATATTCTTAAAAATTTTTAAAAAAAACGACAAATTGATATTAGCTTCTTTCCTTCAAGCTTAAAGATTTAATTGAATAAAGTAAATTTAATGTGAAATAATGACGGTAAAAGCTATTTAAATTGCTAATTTTATGCATAAAAATGTATAGAAAAAAATAAATAATTCACATTTATTGTTAAAAATTTTCTTTAATTTACTCACAATATCATTATTATAATAAAACTAGATACTGTCTAGCTGAGGATCCGCCACAGACCTGAGCCCCTACAGGCCTTAAGCGTATATAGAACGTTGAAACATGTATGAATTAAAAAATGTTTTGTTAAATCTATTAATTTTTTAACTTCCTCTTAGCATATAGATAATAGTGGTATATGAACGAAATTATAAAAAAATCATTTTCATATAGTAAAACGGCGCAGGAAAATTTATGTAACACGATCTGTTGTTCCAATAATTTCTATTCTGGTTTGAAAACTAAATATTAAAAATTTTTCTGACTTAAAACCGGTTTTATGATCAGTCCAAGTCAATTTTATATATATTAAAATATTTTATAATTATCTGAATTATATTTGAATTGAAAATGTATTAAAGTAATCTTTTATATACTGCTAATTTCGAAATACTGTATAAATCTAGAATACACCAAAATACAAAATAATTCTATTAACATAAACCACTCAATTAGGACAGTCACTTCTTTAAAATAATATTATATTAGAAGTATTAATTTATTATAATAATAACTATTTATTATTTAAATTTTTTAATTACACAAATACTTCAATGGTATCTTATTTTCTAAAATTGATCAACTTTTATACTTATAAATTATATTTATGACATAATTGGAACATGACTAAAGTATGCTAAAGGATAAAAATAATCATAATTCAAGCTTCACCTTTAGCAATAATTTAAATTTTTTGAAAAATTAATAATGCAAATTTTAATTGTACTGACTTTCTCTTTACTAAATATATTTTATGAATTTTATAGATAACTTAAAAATTAATTTAAAATATATGAAAATGTTAATAAAATAATAATTAATACACATATGCACTAATTTAGCTATTGAATTAAAATTGTCCAATGACAATATAATATACAAATTTGAAAAAGGTACGACTAGAAAAGCTGCTGAAAATGGAGACATAAAACTTTTAAAATTTGCTCATGATAATGGATGTGAATGGGATGAAGATACTACTATTATGGCTGCTGCAAAAGGCAATTTGGAAATTTTAAAATATGCAAATAAAAATGAATGTCCATGGGATGAAAGGACAACAGAAGCAGCTGCTGCTAATGGTAAATTAGAATGTTTAAAATATGCTCATGAAAATAAATGTCCGTGGAATGAAAGTACAACAGAAGCAGCTGCAAAGTATGGTCAAATAGAATGCTTAAAATATGCCTATGAAAATGGCTGTAAATGGAATAAATTCAAAATTGCGATAATTGCTATTGAAAAGAAAAACCTAGACATTTGGAAATATGCTCAAAAAAATATAAGCAAATTTAATAAAATCCTAATTACTATGGCTGCTTATACAGGAAACTTAAACTTTTTAAAACATGCCCATGAAAATAGATATCCGTGGGATGAAAAAACAACAAAAGCAGCTGCTATGAAAGGTCAATTGGAATGTTTAAAATATGCCCATGAAAATGGATGTCCATGGGATGAAGGCACTACAAAAGCAGCTGCTACTAAAGGTCAATTAGAATGTTTAAAATATGCCCATAAAAATAGATGTCCATGGGATGAAGGCACAACAGAAGCAGCGGCTTCTAACGGTCAATTAGAATGTTTAAAATATGCCCATGAAAATAAATGTCCATGGGATGAAGGCACAACAGAAGCAGCGGCTTCTAATGGTCAATTGGAATGTTTAAAATATGCCCATGAAAATGAATGTCCATGGGATGAAGGCACAACAAAAGCAGCTGCTACTAAAGGAAGCTTAGAATGTTTAAAATATGCCCATGAAAATAGATGTCCTTGGGATGAAAGTACAACAGAAGCAGCGGCTTCTAACGGTCAATTAGAATGTTTAAAATATGCCCATGAAAATGAATGTCCATGGAATGAAAATATTACAGAAGAAGCTGCGTCTAACGGTAAATTAGAATGTTTAAAATATGCCCATGAAAATGAATGTCCATGGGATGATTTCACAACAATAGCTGCTGCTGCTAATGGTCATTTAAAATGCTTAAAGTATGCTCATGAAAATGGATGCCTTTGGAATGATATCACGACAAGAGCGGCTGCTTCTAACGGTAAATTAGAATGTTTAAAATATGCCCGTGAAAATGAATGTCCGTGGGATGATATCACAACAATAGCTGCTGCTGCTAATGGACATTTAAAATGTTTACAGTATGCTCATGAAAATGCATGTCTTTGGAATCAAAAAACGACAAGAGCGGCTGCTTCTAATGGCCAATTAGAATGTTTAAGGTATGCTCATGAAAATGGATGTCCGTGGGATGACGATACAACAAAAGGAGCTGCTTTTAACGGTAAATTAGAATGTTTAAAATATGCCCATGAAAACGGGTGTCCGTGGGATGAACGCACAACTAGAGCTGCTGCAGAAAGTGGAAGTTTCAACTGTTTAACTTACGCCCATGAAAATGGATGTGTTTGGAATGATAGTATAACCAGAGCTGCTGCTGCTAGTGGCTGTTTAGACTGTTTAGTATATGTTCATGAAAAAGGATGTAATTGGCATGAAGATACAATAGGTGTGGGAGCTGTACAAGGTAATTTAAATTGTTTAAAATATGCCCGCGAACATGGATGTGATTGGGTTGAAGGTACGATGAGAGGGGCTGCAGCAAATGGTCATTTAGACTGCTTAAAGTATGCCCATGAAAATGGTTGTGAGTGGGACGAAGGTACTACAAGAGAAGCTTCTGCTAGTGGTTGTATTGAATGTTTGATATTTGCACATAAAAACGGTTGTAAATGGGATGAAGGTACAACGGGTGTGGCTGCTGCAAATGGTCATTTAGACTGCCTAATATATGTTCATGAAAATGGATGTGAATGGGATGAAGGCACAACAAGACTTGCTGCTGCAAATGGTCAATTTAATTGCTTAATATATGCTCATGAAAATGATTGTCCATGGAGTAAAGGAACCATTTATGAAGCAACTCGAAATGATTATACTGATATAACCAACTATGCTACCGCTAATGGTTGTCTCAACTAATATCTTGATGTAATAATCTTTATTTCTATTATATACATTTACGTTTGCTATCAATTATTTATTTTTGAAATAAATTAACTTGATATTTATTTTTTAGTGTGAGGTTTTTGCTTGTAGCGAACAAAATCCCATCATAGTAATTGTTTCACTAAGGTCATAAAATTCGTATCATAAGAACCAATGCGTATGGTATTTTATCATAGGTTATTATGCGTATATTATATTATCAATTATTAATTGATATATATTCCTAGCAATAATGCTTTTTGTTTTTTCTCTCGCCTTGGACACAACTACTGAGGGTTGTCCGATTCCTCAATTTAGATACCAGTACAGTGTATTCCTATTTATTCTTTATTTCTTGTTTACCTTAATTATTCATCACAAAAATAATTTACTATTTATTATATAATGTAACCTATACCTATAGATATAGTTTATTTTTTTACTGTGGGTTTTCTGACTTTACATTAAATTAATTCTATTTTATATCAATTGTTGGATTAATTAAAAGTCTTCTTCTCTTCTTCCTCGCCTGAATCCCAACTACTTGGGGTCAGCCACCCTTATCCTAAACTTCCACTTGACATGATCTCCCACATCTTCATAGCTCACATCAGCTGTCCTCATATCGCATTCAATAGCATCTTACCACCTCTTTTTTGGTCATCCTCTACCTCTTCTTCCTTCAACATTCATTTCAATAACTGTTCTTACAGCTTCCGGTTCTTCTCTCCTCATAACATGACTAAACCATCTACGTCTATTTTCTCTCATCTTATCTATGATTGATGCTACACCTATACTTCCTCTTATATGCTCGTTCCTTATCCTATCTTCTCTAGTCACGCCACTCATCCATCTAAACATTCTCATCTCTTACACTCATTTTCTAATCTACTTTCTCTTCAACTACCCAACACTCTGAATCATACATCATGGCTGGCCTCACTACAGTCTTGTAGGATTTACCTTTCAGCCTAATTGTAGTTCTTTTATTGCATAAGACGTCAGACGCTTCTCTCTACTTCAACCAACCGCACTTAATTCTATGTCTTACATTTGCACAACTGACCCTAAATACATAAAATTTTCCATTTCATAACTTCAACTACTCTATCCTTCGCTTTTTCCAAATCTATAAATACCATACACAGCTTTTTCTTCTTTTCCCTAAACTTTTCTATTAGTGGCTTGACACAAAATACTGGCTCCATTGTTGACTTACCAGGCATAAAACTAAACTGGTTATTAGATACCGATGTCTCATTTCTTAATCTCTTGTCTATTAATTTTTCCCAAATTTTCATACTATGAGTCAGAAACTTAATGTCTCTATATTTTCCACACTCCTGTATGTCACCTTTACCTTTAAAGCTCGGCACCACAATACTATTTCTTTATTCATTTGGAATTTTCCTTTCTAGAAATATATATATTATAATAGGATATTATTTAAAATATTTAATGTTTATACTTTTGGTATAAATCTGAATATATATCGGAAGCAGACCACATAGCTTTTGTTCGTCCTATCATGCCTATTAAGGACCCTGAATCGACTATTTCATAACTTTCAACATATATTGAATGACTGGAGATACTAGAAATAAATTCTAATTTTCAACCACCTTATGCCAACACCGCCTAATATTTTCCATACTTCTACTGGCACTTCATCTGGTCCCACTGCTTTATTCTTGACACGACTTACGTCACAAAAATGTGGTCGACACTGGTTTTGAGAGTAGAGAACCGTAGGCCGTTTATTAAATGAGCGACAACAGATTATTTTAACAAAAATAAAACAAACCGAAAAGATAAACACAGTAATAATAATCTTCGCATAATATCGCGGCACTTTCGCTGGCGTCGACGACGCGATGTCCGGCGTAATCCTTGGACGGCAAATAGTTAGCAGCGTTGTAGGCGACGGTGCGCGGGTGCGGATCGGTTGGTCGACGTTGTCGCTTTCACAACGGCGGGAGGAAGACTCTCGCATCATTTGCGGTGGGTCGTCGTCGGCCGTGCGGTATTTGCTGGACTTTGCACCGTAGCGTATATCACGCGGTGTTGGTCAGTTAAATACTCATAGAAGGGCGACGACTGATAAAGGTGGCACGAGTCGCGGGGCATCGTGTATAACGAAGCGACGCGGGCCGTGTCATTCTTTTTCATTGATGCCACAGCCTCTGATATCTCTTTCTCACTAATTAAATCTACCAGTCCCTCATTCCACGAAATATCCTCTAATGTCTCTTTTGGATACTCCTTCTTCAATAGTTTTTCAAAATACTCTTTCCACCTTTTTTTCACATCATCATCACTCGAGAGTACCTTATTATCAACACTTTTTTATTCACCTTATACAATGATAATCTTTAAATCTTTTCTCTCTTATTTTTGCAAGTCTATAGATTTCTTTAAAGCCTTCCTTTGTTCCTAGCCTATCATACAACTAGGATTAATTAAAAGTCAATAAAAAAATTAGTAGAATCTTTAAAATACATTAATGTATTTCACCTCAGATGAAAAGAAAAAAAGAAAAACAATAATATTTTACAAGTTAATTTATAAACATAGGACTGATAATGTTTAGATTCTAATCTTTCTACTTTATCGCCAAAATTGTTGATTTTTTCATTTTTATTTTGTCTAATTGTTTGTAATTCATCGCATAATTGATCTGGACGAATTTATTATCCAAAATTATCAATAAGAAAGATTTTTAGTTCTGACCAGTCTCTAACATCTATTGAGTCCATTAATTCTCTAGCTTTGGCTTTAATTTTGAGCTTAATGGCTAAAAACAGTTGTTTATGCTGTTCGGCTGTAGCCATAAGATAAGCATCATTTACGGCATTTATGAAATTATTTAAGGTATTAGACTTGCCTTCAAAAGGTTCGCCTATTAATTGAGCTAATTCATAAATAGAAAAATTATTTTGTGTAGCCATATTAATTTAAAAATTTAAAGAAAAAATTCTCTTGTACATAAATTTTTGTTAATTTTTTGTAAGGTTTGAATCTTTGAAAGAAAAACTATTAAAAAAATATTTTACCGATAGAAGTATTTTACAAGGTATAAAACTTATTTCTATCGTATAACTAATTTAACTAATTACAATTATTGTATTTACCAAAAAACAGCAGCCAAAAATAAATATTTCATTTTCCTTTATTGATGATCCCAAAACTCCGATATAAGGTTGTAGTGATATAGTTTTCAATAATCTGCCAATTCCTGGTAGTAGTGTCCAGTTGAAAAGAATTTGCCAGGGATTCCAAGTAATATGAAGTCGTCAATTGAACCAAATTTTTCAGGGATGCCAATTTCTATGTGATGAACTGGGTGTTCTAAGTCCAACTTCGAACACGTGAATAAGTGTTGTCAGAAAGAGTCAAAATAATAACAATTATAATGTAATATTCACTGTTTGAACACTGACCATCGAGTCAGTGGTCAGGTCCCTTTTTATTAGGCAAAATTAATAATTAATAAAACAATTAACACTTTCTAATGATTATAGTGCTTCTTACTTTCCAGTAATTAACAATACAAATTCCTTAAAAACTAATATTTACATAATAATTATGAGTTCATGACAATACTACAGAATAACTTATGCATTTTTTGTTTACTTTAATGATGTTTTGTAAATAGATGTGATAAATTCCTATCGCATAGGCGCCATGCTGGCCGTTTTGATGTAGTCGTTTAACGAGAACAAACAGATTATATAACGTAACTTAGGTTCTTTAATACAATGACTGTTCTGATTGTTGTATTTCAATTTATACAAAAACCGTTATGATAAAAGATATGTTAAATAATAAGATAATAAAAAGTTAAATATTTGAGAAACATTTGACTTCAAGATTAATTAGTTAGTTAAACAAATGTAATTCATAAAAATAAAATTGCGAAATAGAGAGGGAAAAATGTTTTTCATATTTTAATAATGAAGTTATCCTTTTAAATTTTATTTAAATTAGTTTCAAAAAGTATATTTTGTTATCAGAGTTTTAAGATTCAATAACCACTCGAACCCTTTCTTTAGTAATAACAACAGTAAAAACAATAAGGAAGTGATAAAGTTTTTTCAATAAATAAAACATGATTTTTTTAGGAATGTATAATTTTTTTAATTAGTTCATACAATACACATTATTTGGAAAACGGTCGAAATATTTTCAAAATTAATTTTAGTAGTATGTTTTTGTTTTTACAAACATAATAGCCTGATGGTAGATTAGCTGATTATGGCTAATTATTAAATATATTTTTTTATTTAAAACACAATAAGTATCTTCTAGAAAATTTTTTCGGGGGGGCGATGCACAGTGGTCTGTAATCAAATTTTAGGCGCTCATAAGTGTCATTTTAAATGTACTCATAATGTTAAAATAATTATGAAAATTCAATTTTAGTATATTGCTTAGACAAAATATAAAATTTCAAGGTCACATGTTAATCCGGTCGTTATTTATAGCCGTTTGAAGTATAGATATGATTAAATTATGGTTATTTCAACATAAAAAAGGTCTTTCGTTGTAAAGTTTTTTAACAAGTTAAAAAAAAATTTTTTCGAATTTTTTTTTTATTATTTTATTAAAAGTATAAGTAAAAGATATCAAAAAAAAAAAATTTCGAAAAATTTTTTTTTTTGACTAAGTAATAATCGTTTTAATAAAATAGAGCATTTTTTGAGGCGTTTTTGAAACTAAAAAGCACAATACTAAAAATTACCCTATTTTACCTATGTATTAATGCATAGATATTGTAGAGCAACTAGTCTAGATTTCAAAAATATAATTTTTTATTGCGGCGGACAAAAATAACTGTGCATAAGGCTAATAAGATTAAACCAATTCGTACATTTTTTATTTACAATTAGCTTTCATTTATTTCAATTTTTAATATTGAATTGTTTAGGTTATTTTATTTAATCTTCAATGTTCGATTCGGAATTGACAAATAAATTTTGCACATCAATAGAAAATTAATTTACACTTTTTTTTGAAAATAATTTCATTGGAGATATAGTCATCTCACCGTGAGTCCGGTCCACCCACCTGCCCAGCCGAT